GTCTATACACATTTCTACACATACACTGTTGTAGTGTGGACTATACGTATTTCTACACATACACTGTTAAAGTGTGGTCTATACACATTTCTACATATACACTGCTACAGTGTGGACTATACACATTTCAGTGTGGTCTATACTAATTTCCACACATACAATGTAACAGTGTGGACTATAATAATTTCCACACATACAATGTTACAGTGTGGACTATACACATTTCAGTGTGGTCTATACTAATTTCCACACATACAATGTAACAGTGTGGACTATACTAATTTCCACTCATACAATGTTACGGTGTGGTCTCTACTCATTTCTACATATACACCGTTAAAGTGTGAACTATACACATTAGTGTGGAATATACACATTTCTATACATAGAATGTTACAGTTTGGTCTACACACATTTCTACACATACAATGTTACTGTGTGGTCTATACATATTTCTACACATCCAATGTTACAGTGTGGAATATACACATTTCTACACATAGAATGTTACAGTTTGGTCTATACACATTTCTACACATACAATGTTACAGTGGGGTCTATACACATTTCTACATATACACTGTTACAGTGTGGACTATACACATTTCTACACATACAATTTTACAGTGTGGTCTATAATTATTTCTATACATACACTGTTACAGTGTGGACTATACACATTTCTACACATAGAATGTTACAGTTTGGTCTATACACATTTCTACACATACACACATACAATTTTACAGTGTGGTCTATACACATTTCTATACATACAATGTAACGGTGTGGTCTATACACATTTCTACACATCCAATGTTACAGTGTGGACTATACACATTTCTCCACATACAATGTTACAGTGTGGTCGATACTAATTTCCACACATACAATGTAACAGTGTGGACTATACTAATTTCCACACATACAATGTTACGGTGTGGTCTCTACTCATTTCTACATATACACTGTTAAAGTGTGAACTATACACATTTCTACACATACAATGTTACGGTGTGGTCTTTACTAATTTCCACACATACAATGTTACAGTTTGGTCTATACACATTCCTACACATACAATGTTACAATGTGGTCTTTACTAATTTCCACACATACAATGTTACGGTGTGGTCTTTACACATTTCTACACATACAATGTTACAGTGTGGTCTATACTCATTTCCACACATACAATGTTACGGTGTGGTCTATACACATTTCTACACATACAATGTTACAGTGTGGACTATACACATTTCTACACATACAGTGTTACAGTGTGGTCTATACACATTTCTATTCATACACTGTTACAGTGTGGACTATACACATTTCTAGACATACAATGTTACAGTGTGGACTATACACATTTCTACACATACAATGTTACAGTGTGGACTATACACATTTCTACACATACACTGTTGTAGTGTGGACTATACGTATTTCTACACATACACTGTTAAAGTGTGGTCTATACACATTTCTACACATACAGTGTTACAGTGTGGACTATACTCATTTCTACACATACAATATTACAGTGTGGTCTATACACATTTCTACACATACACAGTTGTAGTGTGGACTATACGTATTTCTACACATACACTGTTAAAGTGTGGTCTATACTCATTTCTAAACATACAATGTTACAGTGTTGTCTATACTAATTTCCACACATACAATGTTACAGTGTGAACTATACTAATTTCCACACATACAATGTTACAGTGTGGTCTCTACTCATTTCTACATATACACCGTTAAAGTGTGAACTATACACATTTCTACACATACAATGTTACAGTGTGGGCTCTACTCATTTCTACATATAGACCGTTAAAGTGTGAACTATACACATTTCTACACATACAATGTTACAATGTGGTCTATACTAATTTCCACACATACAATGTTACGGTGTGGTCTATACTCATTTCCAAACATATAAAATGTTACGGTGTGGTCTATACACATTTCTACACATACAATTTTACAGTGTGGACTATACACATTTTTTCCCCTACAATTTTACAGTGTGGTCTTTACACATTTCTACCCATCCAATGTTACAGTGTGGACTTTACACATTTCTACACATGCAATGTCACAGTGTGGGCTATACACATTTCTTCCCCTACAATTTTACAGTGTGGTCTTTACACATTTCTACCCATCCAATGTTACAGTGTGGACTATACACATTTCTACACCTCCAATGTTACAGTGTGGACTTTACACATTTCTACACATGCAATGTCACAGTGTGGACTATACCCATTTTTTCCCCTACAATTTTACAGTGTGGTCTATACACATTATTTCTACACATCCAATGTTACAGTGGGGTCTATACCCATTTCTACACATAGAATGTTGCAGTGTGGTCTATACACATTTCGATACATACAATGTAACGGTGTGGTCTATGTGTGGTCGATACTAATTTCCACACATACAATGTTACGGTGCGGTCTATACTCATTTCCAAACATATAAAATGTTACGGTGTGGTCTATAATCATTTCCAAACATATAAAATGTTAGGGTGTGGTCTATACACATTTCTACCCATCCAATGTTACAGTGTGGTCTATACATATTTCTACACATCCAATGTTACAGTGGGGTCTATACACATTTCTACACATAGAATGTTACAGTGTGGTCTATACACATTTCTATACATGCAATGTAACGGTGTGGTCTATACACATTTCTACACATACAATGTTACAGTGTGGTCTATACACATTATTTCTACACATCCAATGTTACAGTGGGGTCTATACACATTTCTACATATACACTGTTACAGTGTGGACTATACACATTTCTACACATACAATGTTAAAGTGTGGTCGATACACATTTCTACACATACAGTGTTACAGTGTGGACTATACACATGTCTACACATACAATTTTACAGTGTGGTCTATAATCATTTCCACACATACAATGTTACGGTGTGGTCCAAACCCAAATTTCCCCACATACAATGTTACGGGGTGTCTATACACATTTCTACACATACACTGGTAAAGTGTGGTCTATACTAATTTCCACACATACAATGTCACAGGGTGGTCTATACTCATTTCCACACATACAATGTAACAGTGTGGTCTATAGACATTTCTACACATACAGTGGTACAGTGTGGACTATACTCATTTCTAAACATACAATGTTACATTGTGGTCTATACTCATTTCCACACATACAATGTGACAGTGTGGTCTATAATCATTCCCACACATACAATGTTAAAGTGTGGTCGATACACATTTCTACACAGTGTGGACTATACACATGTTCTATACACATTTCTGCACATACAATGTTACAGTGTGGTCTATACACATTTCTACACATACAGTGTTACAGTATGGTCTATACATATTTCTATACATACAATGTTACAGTGTGGTCTATACACATTTCTACACATACACAGTTGTAGTGTGGACTTTACGTATTTCTCCACATACCCTGTTAAAGTGTGGTCTATACTCATTTCTAAACATACAATGTTACAGTGTGGTCTATACTAATTTCCACACATACAATGTTACAGTGTTGACTATACACATTTCTACACAGTGTGGACTATACTCATTTCTACACATACAATATTACAGTGTGGTCTATAGACATTTCTACACATACACAGTTGTAGTGTGGACTTTACGTATTTCTACACATACACTGTTAAAGTGTGGTCTATACTCATTTCTAAACATACAATGTTACAGTGTGGTCTATACTCATTTCCACACATACAATGTTACAGTGTGGTCTCTACTCATTTCTACATATACACCGTTAAAGTGTGAACTATACACATTTCTACACATACAATGTTACAGTGTGGTCTATACTAATTTCCACACATACAATGTTACAGTGTGGTCTCTACTCATTTCTACATATACAATGTTACAATGTGGTCTATACTAATTTCTACACATACAATGTTACAGTGTGGTCTATACACATTTCTATACAAACACTGTTACAGTGTGGTCTATCCACATTTCTATACAAACACTGTTACAGTGTGGTCTATCAATGTTACAGTGTGGTCGCTACTCATTTCTACATATACAATGTTACAATGTGGTCTACACTAATTTCTACACATACAATGTCACAGTGTGGTCTATACAAATTTCTACACATATGATTTGACAGTGTGGTCTATACTCATTTCTACACATACAATGTCACAGAGTGGACTATACACATTTCTTCCCCTACAATTTTACAGTGTGGTCTATACATATTTCTACACATCCAATGTTACAGTGGGGTCTATACACATTTCTATACAAACACTGTTACAGTGTGGTCTATCAATGTTACAGTGTGGTCGCTACTCATTTCTACATATACAATGTTACAATGTTGTCTATACTAATTTCTACACATACAATGTGACAGTGTGGACTATACACATTTCTTCCCCTACAATTTTACAGTGTGGTCTATCAATGTTACAGTGTGGTCTCTACTCATTTCTACATATACAATGGTACAGTGTGGTCTATACCCATTTCTACATATACAATGGTACAATGTGGTCTATACTATTTTCTACACATACAATGTCACAGAGTGGACTATACACATTTCTAAATACAATGTTACAGTGTGGTCTATACACATTTCTACACATATGATTTTACAGTGTGGTCTATACACATTTCTACATATACAATGTTACAGTGTGGACTATACAAATTTCTACTCATACAATGTTACAGAGTGAAGACTTTTGTGGTTTTAAACACCAAAATGCCTTTGTATTCAAAGGGATAGTTGCTCTCAAGATAGCGGTATGAGGGTTTTTACCTGTCTTAGAAAAGATCATCAGAGGTTGTCTGATTGCGTTGAAGATCATCGAGTCGAGTTAAGAACTACATGTATTATCACAGTTTACCCAGAATTGCATGGCGCACATCAGCTTTTCATGTGAGAGATGTACTTACCTGGGAGTTGAATGAGGGCGTGGAATACTTTCAAGTCTAACGGAGGGGATGCAGTCAGTGTCTTGAGCAGCTGTACCTTGGAACTGCCGTCTTTTTTGGTCTGAAACAATCAACAAAACATACATTTGTTTATAAAATACGTAATTTTACAAACTTAAAATTTCGCCTGTCCCTATTTCAAGTAATTGTTTTATATGTTAGTCTTGCCTCACAACAACTGTCCAGGTATGTATCATTATTTAAGGAATGGTTTCATATTTTGGTCAGGTCCAAGTTGAGCAGGTGTTAATTGATAGATGACAAAGCAATGGTACATATAGATAGAAAATGGTTTCTTATATTCACTGTGGGCAATCATGTGACCTCTAGCGATTCAGTACCCCGAAAATGGCGGGCAAAAAAGCTGCAGCTCAAGGAACATTTTCAGATAAACTGACATAATCCTTTCTTTTATATAGAGATACATAGCCGAATCCAAAGCTGAAAATGATTTGGTTGGAGCAGGACAAGATTCAGTATCTACAACTGCATCGATTTCACAAACATTCGAGCACAACTTTTTAGCCGGTCCCAGTTTGGGTTTGGTCGTAATCACGGACACAAAGATTTGTAAAAGCGCCCAATTTGAGAATATCTCGTCTATTTATCACGTCTGTCGTTTGGTACAATGGTCGTATGATATATTACAGCTTATAATCAATCAACTCTCATTGACAATAATCCCATTTTGTTGCTTTACCTGAAATGATACCAAACACTAACGACATGACAGAGGATACCACGGATAAGAACAATAGAACGCTGCGCATATATTTTTTTCTTTTACTATCAATTACACACTTCTGTGTTTTTAGAACACTTAAAGAATTGAAAATGAGATGAATAACACTTTAATAACAAAAAAGTGATGCCCACCATGCGGGATTAGAAAAAACTATCCCCCGTCTTCAATTCTTTATATCTACAATTGAGATCCGTCATTTTGGTCAGCACAAATATAGCCGAAGACCAAACAGATTTAGCTGTTTATTTTCTTCAGTTTGAAAAAAAGATACCGTTATCACTTTATTAACGCCGTCATCAGCATCCTGAAAACAAAAGTCAAGTCATCTTCATGTGCCTCTTCGCTAAATGGCGACTAATGACCTTCTTGTAACACGGACCTGGAAATTTAAAGAGATGCGTTTCAGAAAACCTTATGATAATGTGATATATATAAAAGTAAAATATTAATACTGATGTATTATCTGATCAGCTAACACAAGCTTAATTTCCAAAACTCATCTGCATAGATTCGCCTACTTGTATTGTTGTCGACGTCATGGAAACATGTCACGGTCTATGGTCAGGTAATCAGATGAGTTTACCACCCATTTACTGTAAACAGCATTGCAAGATTTACCACTCATTTACTGTAAACAACATATCAAGGTTTACCACGTATTAACTGTAAAAAACATATCAAGGTTAACCAACAATTTACTGTAAACAACATATTAAGGTTTACCACCCTTTTACTGTTAACAACATATCAAGGTTTACCACCAATTTACTGTAAACAACATATTGAGGTTTACCACTCATTTACTGCAAACAACATAACAAGGTTTACCACCCATTTACTGCAAACAACATATCGAGGTTTACCACCCATTTACTGTAAACTATATATTAAGGTTTCCCAAAGATTTACTGTAAACAACATATTAAGGTTTACCACCCATTTACTGTAAACTATATATTAAGGTTTCCCAAAGATTTACTGTAAACAACATATCAAGGTTTACCACGTATTAACTGTAAAAAACATATCAAGGTTAACCATTAATTTACTGTAAACAACATATTAAGGTTTACCACCCTTTTACTGTACACCTCATATTAAGGCTTACCACCCATTTACTGTAAACTATATATCAAGGTTTACCACCAGTTTACTGTAAACCACATATTGAGGTTTACCACCCATTTACTGTAAACAACATATCAAGGTTTACCACCAATTTACTGTAAACAACATATCAAGGTTTACCACCTATTTATTGTCAATCTCGTATCAAGGTTTACCACCTATTTATTGTCAATCTCGTATCAAAGTTTACCACCCATTTACTGTCGATCTCATATCAAGGTTTACCACCCATTTACTGTAAACAACATATCAAGGTTTACCACCAATTTACTGTAAACCACATATTGAGGTTTACCACTCATTTACTGTAAACAATATATCAAGGTTTACCACCAATATACTGTACCCACATATTGAGGTTTCCCACTCATTTACTGTAAACTATATATTAAGGTTTCCCACCGATTTACTGTAAACAACATATTAAGGTTTATCACTCATTTACTGTAAACAATATATCAAGGTTTACCACCAATTTACTGTAAACAACATATTAAGGTTTACCACCCATTTACTGTCAACCTCGAATCAAGGTTTACCACCCATTTACTTTAAACAACATATCAAGGTTAATCGCCCATTTACTGTAAACACCATATAAAGGTTTACCACCTATTTACTCTAAACAACATATTAAGGTTTACCACCCATTTACTGTAAACAACATATCAAGGTTTACCACCAATTTACTGTAAACAACATATTAAGGTTTACCACCCACTTACTGTAAACAACATAACTAGATTCAGCTACCATTTACTGTAAACAACATATTAAGGTTTACCAATCATTTACTGTAAAAATCATCTTAAGGTTTACCACTCATTTACTGTGAACAACATATCAAGGTTTACCACCCATTTACTGTCAACCTCGAATCAAGGTTTACCACCCATTTACTTTAAACAACATATCAAGGTTAATCACCCATTTACTGTAAACACCATATAAAGGTTTACCACCTATTTACTCTAAACAACATATCAATGTTTACCACCCACTTACTGTAAACAACATTTTAAGGTTTACCACCTGTTTACTGTAAATAACATATTAAGGTTTAACACCCATTTACTGTAAACACCATATTCAGGTTTACCAGTCATTTACTGTAAGCTACATATTACGGTTTTCCACCCATTTATTGCGAAGAACATATTAAGGTTTACCACCCATTTACTTTAAACAACATATCAATGGTTTACCAAAATTTACTGTCGATCTAATATCCACTTTTACCACCCATTTACTGTAAACTATATATTAAGGTTTCCCACCGATTTGCTGTAAACACCATATTAGGGTTTAACACCCATTTACTGTAAACAACATATAAAGGTTTACCAGTCATATACTGTGAACTACATATTAAGGTTTACCACCCTTTTACTTTAAACAACATATCACGGTTTACCACCAATTTACTGTAAACTACATATTAAGGTTTACCACTCATTTACTGTAAACAACATATTAAGGTTTACCACCCATTTACTGTCAACAACATATCAAGGTTTACCGCAAATTTACTGTAAAGAACATATCAAAGTTTACCTCCCATTAACTGTAAACAAAAAATCAAGGTTAACCACTCATTTACTGTAAACTATATATTAAGGTTTACCACTCATTTTTTTTAAACAACATATCAAGGTTTACCACCCATTTACTTTAAACAACATATCAATGTTTACCACCAATTTACAGCCGATTTAATATCAACGTTTACCACACATTTACTGTAAACTATATATTAAGGTTTCCCCCCGATTTACTGTAAACAACATATACAGGTTTACCAGTCATTTACTCTAAACTACATATTAAGATTTACCACCCTTTTACTTTAAACAACATATCAAGGTTTACCACTCATTTATTGTAAACACCATATTAAGGTTTACCACCAATTTACTGTAAACAACATATCCAGGTTTACCACCGATTTACTGTAAACAACATATTCAAGGTTAACCACTCATTTACTGTAAACTATATATTAAGGTTTACCACTCATTTACTGTAAACTACATATTAAGGTTTACCACCAATTTACTTTCAACAACATAATAAGGTTTAGCACCCATTTACTGTAAACAACAAATCAAGGTTAACGACCCATTTACTGTAAACAACATATTAAGGTTTACCACCCATTTACTGTAAACAACATACTAAGGTTTACCACTCATTTACTGTATACTACATATTAAGGTTTACCACTCATTTACTGTAAACAACATATCAAGGTTTACCACCAATTTAGTGGAAACTACATATTATGGTTTACCACTCATTTACTGTAAATAATAAATCAAGGTTTACCACCAATTTACTGTAAACAACACATTAAGGTTTACAACCCATTTACTGCAAACACCATAACTAGATTCACCTCCTATTTACTGTAAACAAAACATCAAGGTTAACCACTCATTTACTGTAAACTATATATTAAGGTTTACCACTCATTTTTTTTAAACAACATATCAATGTTAACCACCAATTTACAGCCGATTTAATATCAACGTTTACCACACATTTACTGTAAACAACATATCCAGGTTTACCACCCATTTACTGTAAACAACATATCAAGGTTTACCACCAATTTACTCGAAACTACATATTATGGTTTACCACTCATTTACTGTAAATATTAAATCAAGGTTTACCACCAATTTACTGTAAACAACACATTAAGGTTTACAACCCATTTACTGCAAACACCATAACTAGATTCACCTCCTATTTACTGTAAACAAGATATTAAGGATAACCACCTATTTACTGTAAACAACATATCAAGGTTTACCACCTATTTACTGTAAACAACATATCAAGGTTAATCACCCATTTACTGCAAACAACATATCAAGGTTTACCAACCATTTACTGCAAACAACATATCAAGGTTTACCAACCATTTACTGCAAACAACAAATCAATGTTTATCACCAATTTACTGCAAACAACATATCAAGGTTTACCAACCATTTACTGTCAACCTCGTATCAAGGTTTACCACCCGTTTACTGTAAAACACATATTAAGGTTTACCACCCATTTACTGTTAACACCATATTAAGGTTTACCACCCATTTATTGTGAAAAACATATTAAGGTTTAACATTTACTGTTAACAATATATTAAAGTTTACCACCAATTTACTGTAAACCACATATTAAGGTTTAC